TGACTACAAATCAGATGTCGGCACGTCACATATATGACGTCACCAATAATCTCCTCTCCCCTGGCATAGCTGCTACTTACCACATGGCAACATTTATGATGGTTCTTTCCTCCCTGACGAAGGCATCAAAGTTCATTAAACTTACAGCCATTTTTCCCCTGCTCATCTTCATGTCTGGTTCAATGGCGTCAATTTCGTGATGCATATTTGTAGTCCCTGACATATTTTCATGAAAAACCTAAAATAACGTCTCCCCCATATGAAAAATAAGCGCTTTGTTGGCATCAGAATGTGTCTTTAAATTGCACAATCATCTCTGTAATTCATGACTAATAAAAAACGGGATTAGAAAATAGCGTTTTTATCCACATTGACTTGCACAAATTTTTCGTTCTTATGGGGGACCCATGGTCCGGAAGTAGATACTTAGGCTCCAATACACATTTAAGGATGAACCTTTTTGTTTCAAGATAAAATTTCAACATCCTTGAGCAACAACAACAACAAAAAAAACTAACAAAGAAAATTTGGTTTCATGTCTCAGAAATTTATTATTTACAAGTTTTTGGTCATTGCTGGTTAATGTGTAAGTGGTTCAAATACACCATTTTCAATTTTGACTAGGTGCCTAAGGTGATTGTCCCCCCAAATACCAGCATTTGCACATGAGCTTTAGGTCCAATTGTCTCATTAGAAGAAAATGTCCCAGCAGATCATTAGAAAGTTGCTCTGATTTATCACCTTCCCCCAACAGCATCTTCATTTTTGAAAGAAGTGATCGTGAGGACAACCAACGTGGATCCTCTTTTCTGATGGTGAATAAATTATCCGTAGGAGTTCAAGCTCAAAGGCTTGAAAGTCGAGTTCAACGCAATGAATCACCCCATCAGTCCAGATGTCTGTGAGGGGTCTGAATGCATTGTGTGCATAAGTCTTGTTGTGCATCCTTCAGCCACCAATTGTAGGCCACCCAGTCAGATATTTATTACTATTGATCTACTTAATCCCGGCTGGAGACTTTTGTTCGGTCGGCTTGAGTCTCTGACCTCAATTAAGTTATGAATTTCTATCTGATAGACTAAGAGTGCTTGAGGCCTGCTGTGGCTGAGCCACCAGGCTGGATTAATTAGAATTAGCGGCGCTGTGAGTGGCTCTCCCCGCCTCATGGATCATGTTGTTTTACTACAAAGTAAAGACGAAGGCAGGGAGGGTTGGACTGAAGGGGACTTGGGTGAATTGTGGGGATGGGGACTGATGAGGAGAAATGTAAAAAATGTAGAAGCAAGTTATGCGATACTTGGACTTGCTGCTTAACTTTTGCTTTCCTTACATCAGACGTTGATGCTTCCTTCCTTCCTGTCATTGTGTTCATGTTGGGGTAACCTGTCTCTCACCTGTCCATCTTCTATGTCACCTTAATCCTGCCTCTATCACATAACCTCTAAGTAATCCCGACTAACTCAGACATTGTGTAATGCTACTCTGGACAACTCCAGGCCTTTGTCTAACTCTACTTCTCATGAATGGACACCGTCTATCTGTAAATACTTATTACTATGGCAACCTGGAGGTGTGCGAGGGGGTTAGAGGAGGATTTGGAACTTCCACCTAAAAAAAAAGTTGTGTGTGGGAAGTGGAGCTAATCTGCAGGTTAGGGATTACAGCACCTGGACAGAGATGGCCACACACGCGCTCACAGGCTGTTATGAGGATTCTCCGTTAGCACAAGTCTATAAGTAACTTTAACCTGGAAGGTGTATTAAAATGTCTCTTCTATTAATAAAACATTAAGCTGATAAAGACCTAAAGTTACTCAAACCTTTTTTTTATTAATTCTGCTATAAATTATGCTTTCCTTTATTTGCCTTCACACAACTAGAAAATAAATGTTTTAATAATTAAAAAAAATTTCAACATTCAAAGTATCTTTCCAGAGTTTTCCCCTTTCAGAAATTATGTATGATTTTTCAGAAATCCGTAAAAGCGATTGTCTTATCATGTACTGAGATATAATGTAAGTAATACGTCTTTTTAAAAAATGTTTTGCTAAACACGCCCCCTGCCCCGCAGAGCTCCGTGCAATAGGAAACTGAGCGCCGGCCAGAGCTAACCACTAGCATTAAACTACCGCTTACATGCTTCAAATTTAAGGAGTAGCTCGGCTGATGCAGAGCTGATGAACTTTTCACAGACAAGTAAGTCTCTAAAATATAAATATGTGAGAACACAGCATGACATGAGAATAATACTAGTAAAACAACGTGTTTTAGCTCTGTTTGTCAGCTACAGAAGCACATTTATAAACAGAAACGTGAAGTCGCCATCTTAAAAAAACAGATTGACTGATTATTTGTGTGATATGCTTGTCAGCCACTACATGGTGCCATCAGATAAGAGAAATAATCCGGAAAGATGCTTTAATCCAAAATTGCAGGATACTCTGTTCAAGACTTTTTCAGAACATCCCAGATTTCCACAGTGGATCTAGACTATTACATACCATGTTGGTACTTGTAGCACATTTTTGAAAACTGTTTCTTACATGTTTTTTTTTTTTTTTACATTTAACCAAGACAACATGCAATTAGTAAATTTTATTAGAAATTTGTATAATTTGATTGTAAAATCGCCAGTGTTTCGTCCTTTGGCAGATTTTATTATTTTATTTGCAAGGTCTAAAACGGATCAATGGAACTTGCTGTGAAAACTTTATTAGCTACAATCCCAAAACAATAATAAAGTCCCAGTTGGCTGAATAGGAATAAATACAATTATTATAATCACTAAAATTAAAACAACCATTTGTCCAAAAAATCATATATATGAACCCGTTCTTTGAAAGAAAACTATGTTTAATGTTTAACTTAATCTGATGTTTGTATTTATGTGCACATAAACTCTGGCACAAAAAACAGATGTAGACTTTAAAACTTTCATTTAAACAGTTTTACTTTAATTAGTTTTTACTCTAAGATGCCAGAGGCTATTTCCGGTGCCTGTCCCACTCTGTAGAATAATTATTTGAGTGAACAGTGACTCTGAATGGCGAAGAGGAGGAGGAGGCTTAATGTGCCATCCCACCACCAGGGCAGGAGCTATAGTTGGCAGGTGGCAGATCTGTGATCCGTGTGTATTCAAACACACGGCGCTACCTATTGTGGTCCCTTGATCCTGGATTAACTATCAAACAAGCCCTTAATGCAGGTTACCAGGGTTTGGGAACAATTCACTAAAACAATCAGTTGATTACTTTCCAACGATTTTTCTCCTCTGCCAAGCAAATAATAATACTTTTTTGTTTTAACTCTTAAGCCCCCTCCCTTTTTAATCAACAAATTAAGCATAAATCGTGTTTGATCTTTATTTACTGGTTGTTCAGCAGTTGGTGGAGGTCAAGAGAGATTACTGGTCGCTCTAATAGCTTGCAGACACGCCAAACATTCCTCTGTCCACCTCATGAACAAACCCACATCCTCTTTGTTTCTCGCTGGACCACGTGGGCAGAAGGACAAAACCATAAAACTGTTTGTTAAATGTTTATCTTCCGCAGCTTTCTTCTTTTCATCCTTGCCTCCTCTCCTCTTTGACTTGCCTCAACTTAAAGGATGTCTGCCCACATTCTAATGAGAAGCATATTGTTCTGTAAGCTCTACATAGTGAGATAATTTGGCATTGTGACAAAGAGCTATGATTTATCCCACTGTATTTTTCTCTCAGCCACCTCATAAATCTGCTACCAGTAACTCTGATGCAGAGGTCCAGTTTCTTTAACACTCAGCCTCCTCCACGGCCGACTTCCTCCGACACCTGGGAGAGCGGCAGGTGGAGAACACAACCCGATTCATGAATAGAGCGAACGTCTCTGCTCTGATTGGCTGCAAAAGCCCTCCTCTTACAACAGCTGTTGGTGTTTTTCACTCATTGTGTACGCAGAGAGGCCAAATTTAAAACTAAACCAAATCATTCAAAACAAATGGTGCAGAAAGGAGGAAAAACACATACATGTGCTCAGAGTGGGAGGATCAATAACTGGTTGACGAGGTAAATAAAGTGTTCAAATATTAGTACCTGAGCAGAGATTTATGTCTCCTGCTTTAGCTGCTGAAAACTCTCGGCGCTCAGATTATTAATAAATATTCTAATTAGGACTATAAATGTGTTCTATTAAAATGCAGAACAAAAGCTCTTTCTGTGCACCAGTCCGACTTGGCTGTCATTATCTTGATATGGCTGTAAATCATCAGTGAATTGTTTTGCAGTTATCCCACTGTTAAGTCTGCCCTGCACCCCCCCACCCCCCCCCCCCCACCCCCCCCCCCCCCCCCCCCCACCCCCCCACCCCCACCCCCCAACCTGGCCACAAGCATTCAAAACAAAAGAGGCCACGCATGACCACAAAAGAGAAAGTCATTTGTGAAATGTCCTGATTATGTGGGGTTGTGTAACGTAAAACAATTTGCCTGATTACTTCCAATTGATTTGTCCTCACAGTTAAAACCTCGCTGAGCAGTCTGGTGAGCTGCACTCAGTGCTGCTGCACCGCCGCCGCCGCCGCCGCTGGGCAGAGAACGAGGAGTAATTTCTCCGATGTGCAGCTGAGCCAGCTTACTGTCTAAGCTAAAGCCTGCTGGATGCTGCTAAACCTCAAAGAGTCTAAACACAAGGCGAGCTACCAGCTAACTGTGTCTGCTAAAGCTCCGGGGGATTTGTGTGTGGCACAAATTGAATTAAAGGTGACCTTCTGGAAGGGGATGGAATGACGGAAGGGAAAGGTGATGCAGGAGATGTCACGGTTTGCCCACAGTTGGCCTGGGCTAATGTTGGAAACTGTCCCACACTTTCCCCACCTTTTCTAGCCAAATAAAATCTTGTAAGAACATTAATCCATATTTATAGCATTCAGTAGTGACTTAACTGGAGTCAATTGGGGCCAACTGAGGTAGATCCTACTCTGGAGGAGGGACTCCTCAGAAGAGGCAAAGAAAAAGAGCAGTGCTCACCTGACTGTTGATGTCTGCTTTGTGCTGCAGAAACAAAGACACCAACTCCTTGTGTCCTCTGTCACAGGCCCAGTGCAGGAGAGTGCGGCCCTGCCGGCACAAACACACAATGCGGTAAGCGCAAAAGGTACGGAGGAAATAAAAGACATGTCTAGGAATCAGCAAGAAAAAAAAAACACCCCGTGTGAACTTTATTTGAATAAAAACATAAGTTTAATATTAATCTCTTAAAATTAAATGAGACATATTTAGGATACTTTTTTTCTTAAGTTACAATTGTTCTATTGTCGATACCACTGTTGGAAACAGAGCTTTCAGTCGCCCTGCTCCTCCGCTCTGAAACTCACTTCCTCCGGACATTCGAAACTCCGACTCCCTCCTCTCATTCGAATCCAAACTCAAAACCCACCTGTTCAAACTGGCTTACAGCCTCTAGTCCACAAAATCTGTCATTACCACCGTATTTATTTTTTACTTTTATTTCTATTTTATTTCATAGTTGTGTATTTTAAACTATCTTGTTCTTATGTTACTTGTATCATGTTTTGTGAGGTGACCTTGCATTAGTATTATTATTATAGAGTTTAAAGGAAGGAGGCTGGAGCACTCGAGTGAGTATTTATTTCTACGTTTAGACAACATGGGTGTCTGTCAGATTAACATCTAAGTAGTGCGGCCAAATAAAGATCTTTGCACTAAATCTCTCTCACATGAAGCCATTTCAACAGTTTTATTTAGGACATTTTCAGTACCTTCCAGAATGAGCCATTTCAGAGCTTTCGACACTTTATAAGCATACTATGCAAAATGTTCATATTTTTAAATCATTTTCATGTATGTGCTAAATTGACCCTTTACAAGGTTAATTAAATATCACTGCATTAACCCTAGAGAAGAACCACTCCTGTAGAAACTAATGAAGGCTGAGGAGACATTTCAGCTGTTAGATTTAGGTGTTAAAAAGACGAACACACAGCGAGGTGATAAGTTTTGCTTTTGGTTCTACTAAACAGACATTAGGGGTGCTAAACGCAAGCCAAAACTGCAAAGTGTGCCTTTAAGAAGACAAAAAGGAGCTGGCCAAGCCCACCCCTCCCCTGCTCATAAAGCAGAGAAACTCCTAAATCTGGGAGGGAGTTGGAGTAGAGCTGCCACTCCTGTAGCAGCAGCTCTCCCTTGCACATGAGAGGTGTTTTTACATTAATTTCCCCGTTTGTGAAATCAGACAGAGACTTTTTAAAACAAAAACACAAAATTCCTAAAACCAAACATTGACAGAAAACGAATGGATGGATTTCTTTCCATTCCAGTGTTTAGAGGCAGTAGAGACCCACATGGCAGCACAAAATTATGCAAAAGGGGAGTTTTGCACAATATGTGCCCTTTAAATATTAGTATTCAGAACCATTTGGGCTTAAACTCCACAACAACCAGCAAAACAAGGGATGAGATATGTTAAAGCAGAGATTTAAAGTCTTCAGAGCACACGTTCTTTAAAGTCTAACTGTGACAGCGTGCACAGAACAAAAGCCACACACACACACACACACACACTGGCCTTTCTTCAGGTCTAAGATCCTTGTTCCAATAAAGCCACACAAGCTCATTTTTCAGTGAGGCCAATTAGGTAAAGCAAACTCTCCAAGCCCACCTCTGTTGCTTAAATCATATTGATCACCGAGGCTGCATGGTAAAACGGGTACTTATGAGTCCGGCTAGAATACAAATAAGTCGGCGTCTCCTCTCGTCTTTTTGTTCCAGGTGTTCTGCTGCTGACTGGAGGACACTGTTTAAACTCAGTACAATCTACAATTTAAAGGCACCACAGTAATAAAATACTCAGTGTGTCAAAGGAACATTAATATTTCCAGTAATTGCATTTTAAACGTGTCTTTTCTGGTGACTACCAATCCAAGTTTCCTCTAGAGCTGAATAAACTATGGAGAAGGATTTTTTTAACACCTTCAACCTCAATAAGAAAAGAAAATCGTATTTATCCTAATGCAATAAGTTACACAAAAACCTTCAATAGAAGATTACAGGTTAAATGAGCTGGACAAGGACAGAATAAAAATAGGGAAAACATACTAATTCAATCCCTGCATAGGTGTGACACCCTGTGACTGTTGTTATTACTACAAATAAACAACTATAATCATTTAGATATAATCATTCTTTTTCAATCTTTTTTGTTAAAAATTTAGGCAAAAAAATTGGAATGCAAAAAAACTAAGTTACATTTAGTTAATGAGCCAAATAAAAAAATTGAACTTAAAGATTTTCATACAAAAACACCCTTTAGTGTATTCTTACAGGTTTCTGATTAGCATTGTCAAATGACAAATGCAAAGTTCAAACTTCAAGTTATCATCCATCCATCCATCCATTCATCCTCATTTTCTTCCACTTATCCGGAGTCAAGTCGCGGGGGCAGCAGCCTAACAGTGAGGCCCAGACTTCCCTCTCCCCAGCTACTTGGGCCAGCTCCTCCAGGGAAATCCCAAGGTGATCCCTGGCCAGCTGAGAGACATAGTCCCACCAGCATGTCCTGGGTCTTCCTTTAGGTCGCCTCCCGGTTGGACGTGCCCAGAAAACCTCACCAGGGAGGCGTCCAGGAGGCATTTTAACCAGATGCCCAAGCCACCTCAACTGGCTCCTCTCGATGTGGAGGAGCAGCAGATCTACCCTGAGCCCCTCCGGGATGACCGAGCTTCTCACCCTATCTCTAAGGAAGAGCCCAGACACCCTGCGGAGAAAACTCATTTCAGCTGCTTATATCCACGATCCTGTGCTTTCGGTCTCTACCCAAAGCTTGTGACCATTGCTGAGGGTTGGAAGGTAGATCGACCGGTAAGTCAAGAACTTCGCCTTCTGGCTCTGCTCTCTTTTTACCACGACAGATCGGTACAACGCCCACATCACTGCAGACCACCTAACAATTTCCTGCTCCAGTTTTCCCTCACTCGTGAACAAGACCCTGAGATACTTAAACTCCTCCACTTGGGGCAGAACCTCACCCCTGACCCGGAGAAAGCGTTCCAGCCTTTTCTGGCTCAAGACCGTGATCTTGGATTTAATAAAGTAAAGTACAGCTGCAATAAATATCATGAAACAAGTGAGAACAACTTTGATGGTATTTATTACTGAATCAACCATTAAAAATACAAGTGTGTATTGTGTTGAGCCTTTGTGGCTCCACAAATATTTCTTCTATTTTTGTTTCAATGAATAAAAGGTAACATCAGTGACAGTGTGAATGTATCGTACCATCTGACTCTGAATAATTAAGAGGAGGCAGCAGCTTGCAGAAGTAATAGGTTTACCAACAACGTGCTTCCCACACCTTAACCATCTTATTAATACTAAAGACATTACATCCAAATGATGCTTTGTTTGCAAGTCCCAAAGATCCCGTTATGGGACAGGGGTTTCTTAACCTCTGTAGCTCTTTGAACCCACTTCCTGTTGATGTGAAACTTCACCACTGCTCTCTGCTGATCAGAAAGCAGAAGTGCAGGACAGAAGAAGACATTAACAATGGCTGTGGGCAGACAAAGCCTTCTCAGCAGAGATCTCACTACCATCTGGCCTTTGACTGTGAACTCAGCGGCCGACTGGCTGTTTACTGTGAAGAGTGACTGTGATAAAAATGGGCAGGGACTCATTTGGCCCAGTTGACAATAAATCAGATGAATGGATTTCAGCTTTTAAAAATTAAAAAATAATCTCACTAGTGATAGAAGTTTCTACACTTTTGCATTTCCATATTTTCTCTGCAAGTGTGAGCACAGACACCAGCATGTGTCAGCTAAACCTAACCCTAACTGCTGCTATAGATTAAGCATACAGCTAAAAGACATTTCAACAGCAACATTATGCATAGAATTGACGATGTTTAATCATGGTTATCATCAAATAAAATGAGTCTATTTTTAGCAGCGCTCATATCCAAGCTGCTACAGCCTGTACATTCTTGGCACTATACCTCTTCGTCTCTGGTATTGACATCCAGTTTCTGGGAGCTGATGGCCTTTTGGATGTGGTCAATGTTATTTTCTCTGCAGTAGTCAAAAATGTTCTTATCCTCTTCCCTGAAAGCACAAGCGGATAAAGAGAGAGAGAGAGAAAAAGAGCACAGTCATTTCCTTGGTCATTTACAGTGAACTCATTATGAACTATGGCTCTCTAAAAGGAACGCTCCTGTTGCATCAGGCCTTTATGATGACTTGGCGTTTGTTTTTGTTTTTTTTATGTAATGTTTAATCAGTCTGACAACATGGCAGAAGACATCGACAGCATTTACATTTATGGCTAAAATAGCATCCAAAATCATTTATTTTAGAAAATAAAACAGATTTTTTTTAATGACACTAGTATTCAGACATCCTACATAAACAACAGCTTATATCTTATCTTACCATCTCTCACTAGAACAGCAGCCACACGTGCCACATCCCTCTGGGATGGTGGCACACACACCACACACACGGTGACACCATCCCACCTCTAATTATATATCTGTGTCTCTAATCACCTCCTGGCATTGGGGACAGAGATGAGTGCTGTGGGGGTGTGGTGACGGTGGGAGATGCTGAGTGAGTGCAGGGAGGGGGGCAAAATCTCATTTAGAGCTTTACGCCTTCCCCTCCCTCTTACCCATCCCAGCCATTCAGAATAATTGAATTAGTGCTCTAATGTCTGAAAGAAACTCCACATACCTGACACTTTTACTACTCCAACGCATTCATCCCCAAAGTCAAAGCCCACAGACTGTGAAGGTCCTCTGCTCGGCTGCAGTGGGACCCAAAAGTCCAGATACACACAGCAACTGGCTCCAGGAACAGAAACCGCTGCATAATGTGTCTCCATAAGGATCGACTGTTGAGCTCAGACTGCTTCTTTTGCATGGTGAAGCCAAGATTTGGTAAGAAGAATTATGTTTATGTTGGTTTATGTATTTAGCAGACACTTTTGTCCAAAGCAACTTACAAGTGATAATCGGCATGTTGCCCTTGATGCTAACACCAACAATAACAACAACAACAAGAACAACAACCAATTTCCAGTCAGTTGTAGGTGGCAGTGAGGCAGCATGATGAATCATGGAGAGGAGGGAAAAAGTAGTGGACAGTAGAGAGGGGGGACGGGTGCAGGGAGGGTGCTACTTTAGAAGATGCTCTCTGAAGAGCAGGGTCTTCAGGAGTTTCTTGAAAGTTGAAAAGGAAGCCCCTCTTCTTGTAGTGCTTGGTAGGTTATTCCACATTTGTGGAACGATGCATGAGAAGAGTCTGGATTGTCCTGAGCGTGGTGTAGGCACTGCTAGCCGACGATCCTGTGATGACCGGAGCGGCTGGGCCGAGACGTAAGCCTTTGCAAGAAGATAGATGGGAGCCGTACCATCTCGGACTTTGTATGCTAGTGTTAGCAATTTGAACTTGATGCGTGCAGCTAGCGGTAGCCAGTGGAGCTCAATGAACAGAGGGGTGACGTGTACTCTTTTTGGCTGATTGAAGACCAGACGCGCCACTGCGTTCTGGACCCTTTGAAGAGGTCTCACAGTACAGGCTGGAAGACCAGTTAGAAGGGCATTGCAGTAATCGAGGCGGGAGATGACAGTAGATTGCACAAGGAGCTGGGTGGCATGTTGTGTTAGGTATGGTCTGATCTTTCGTATGTTATACAGCGCAAAGCGGCATGAACGAGCAACAGAGGCAACATGATCTTTAAAGGTCAGGTGTTCATCAATCACAACACCCAGATTTCGAACTGCCTTTGAAGGAGCCAGAGATAGGAAGTCATTCTGGATTGAGATATTGTGTTGTATGGATGGTTTTGCTGGGATGACAAGTAGTTCAGTTTTAGAGAGGTTGAGTTGGAGATGGTGGGATTTCATCCATTTTGATATGTCAGAGAGACAGTTTGATATTCGTGCAGAGATAGTGTGGTCCTCCGGTGGAAATGACAGATAGAGCTGGGTGTCGTCTGCACAGCAGTGGTAGGAGAAGACATTGATCGAATGATCTCACCCAGTGAGGTGGTGTATATGGCAAAGAGAAGAGGTCCTAGTACAGAGCCCTGGGGGACTCCTGTTGCAAGATGGTGCAAGATAGAGGATTGTCCAAGCCAAGATATGCTGAATGATCATTCTGTGAGGTACGATTCAAACCAGGCATGTGCTTTCTCTGTGATGCCCATGCTAGAGAGCGTGGACAAAAGGAAGCCATGGTTGGCAGTGTCAAATGCAGCAGATAAGTCGAGCAAGATAAGCACTGAGGATTTTGCAGTCGCTCTAGCTTCTTTTAAGGATTCCGTCAATGCTAACAGAGCAGTTTCAGTGGACAGTTTTGTGAGAGGTATTCTGTGATCTGCTTGAAAGCCACCCTTTCAATGATTTTGGACAGAAAGGGGAGGAGAGAGATAGGTCGGTAGCTCTCCACATGAGTTGGAGGAAGAGATGGGTTTTTTAGCAGCAGTTTAACCTGAGCATGCTTGAGAGAGGTGGGAAATGTACCAGATGTCAGTGAAGCATTGATCACGTGTGACTGCTGCGGCTACTGTAGGAGCAATAGCTTGGAGCAGCTTAGTCGGAATGGGGTTGAGAGGGCATGTAGTAGGGCGGCTGCATGTGAGAAGCTTGGACACACAGTTCTCAGTGAGAGGGGAAAAAGAGGAAAATGAAGCAGTAGGGCTTGAGATGGTTGGGCTAGAAGGAGTTTGTGGTAGCAAATGTTCAGGAGTGGCCAGTTGAGTAAACTGTTTGCTTATAGCTGCCACTTTGTTAGTGAAGAATGAGGAAAAGGTGTCAGCTGATAGATTGTTGGTAGGAGGTGGAGACGGAGGGTTGAGCAGAGTTTTGAATGTCAAAAATAGTTTCTGAGAGTCAGTAGAGCTGAGAATTTTGTCAGTGTAGAAAGCTTTCTTTGCATCAGTGATGCTGGCAGAGAATGAGGACAGTAATTCATGAAATTTCAATTGATCACCAGGATCTTTTGTTTTGCGCCATTTCCGTTCCGCAGCTCTAAGATTGGTGCGTAGAGACCGGAGGGTATCACTTAGCCAAGGGTGCGACTGAGAGAATCTAGCAGGTCTTGTGGCTAAAGGGCACAAGTTGTTAAGACAAGAGCAGAGTGGGGAGCAGAGTGACTCGGTGGCATCATTCACTTCATAAGCAGAGAATGTGCTGGGAGATGGAAGAGTGGAGGCAACAAGAGAGAAGAAGTGGTTGGGTGCCAGATTGCGAAGGTTGCGGTGGAATGAGACTATTGGGGAGGAAGCAGTGAACCTCCCTTGTAGAGTCGTGCTGAAATGGATGAAGTAATGATCGGAAAGATGCAGCGGTGTGACAGAGATTGTGTCTATGGCACAGTTTCTGGTGAAAATGAGGTCAAGTGCTTTTCCAGCTTTGTGAGTTGGAGGACTTTGCACTAGTTTTAGATCAAATGATGACATTAGTGACAGGAAGCCTGATGAGCTGGGATTGTCCAGGTGAATATTCATGTCTCCAAGGACCATTGTGGGACAGCCGTGCTCAGGAATGGAGGAGAGCAGGGTGTCGAGTTCATCAAGAAAGTCTCCGAGTTGACCTGGCTGGCGAAATATGACAACCAAAAAGAATTTTTTCGGTACAGTTACCTGGATGGCATGGTATTCAAAGGAGTTGTATTTAGTGATGGGTAGCAACTGACTGTACATCCATTTGTTGGAAATTAACATGCCCGTTCCACCACCTCGGCCAGATGCACGAGAAGTGTGGGAGAAAGTATGGTTAACCGAGACAGCAGATGGGGTAGCATTGTCACATGGTTTGATCCAGGTCTCAGTGAGAGCCAGTGCATCGAGTGACAGGTGGTTTGCATATGCGGTAATGAAGTCTGCTTTGTTTACAGCTGATTGGCAGTTCCAAAGTCCCATATACAGGTGGGTGTCTTCGGGGGGATTTGGTTTTAGCGAGCGGAGGTTTTGAAGGTTGCGAAAGCGGTTTGCTGTGTGTGGCCTTCCTCTGAAGCCAGTGATCACAGGTATAGGATAATGGCACATTTTACGAGGTATCGATAGAGCAACGTCTGGGTCGAGATTGTTTGCTCTGTGTACCTGCTCTGTGGACACGCACAGGTAGACACGTATGTCTTTACCCCGGAGTGTCTTCACACCGGAGGGGCTGAGACACATGGGCTGACGCTTCAGTTATGCCACCAAACTTATGCTGTGCTACTAGTTGGAAACAGGTGTTCATGCAGCGGCTGATGGCAATGATTGTGACCTAGAGCACCTGATGAGTGTTTTCAGGGAGGGGAGAAACAGCTCGTTCATAGCCCCTGATTGCACTTATTGTTTTCAGATGGCACAAACCAGAACAACTAAACAACAGGATTACCCACAGATGAGTTTCCTTCTCTTTTCCCAATGGAAAATAGAGTTGAAGCTTGAGATGTGAGATTGCAATATCATAACGAGGTGGAATCGGAAATTCAAAACCTCCAACTGCATTTAGACGTGTTTAACTTATAGAATGGGCCAGTGTTTTGGTCAAAGTAATGTAAGAATAAAGAGGAAGAGGTATCAATGCAAATTAGGGGTGGACAATATATCGGCATCAATATCGGTATTGGCCGATGTTAGTCATTTTTTAACATATCGGTTAGATAAATAAAACCGAGCCGATATTAACAACCAATTATTTTTCCATCTCGTCTCCATTTGTTTGCCTGTTTCAGAGGGTGAGGGGGGTGATGTTTGTTTATTTGTTTAGTCATGTGAACAGTGAATGAAATCATCTCAAAAGTGTAAATGTGTGTGTATTGTGTACATAATAACGTAAATTCAGCTTTAATAATTTTAATTCAATACAAAATCTGCTAATTTTAAAAAGCATTAATGTCAGTATATCGGTATTGGCAAATATCGGTTATCGGCCACAACACTGATCTTAATAGCGGATATCGGTATCGACCCAAAATTTTCAAATCGGTGCATCACTAATGCAAATATAAATTTAAGTGCTGTACAATTAATCAAAATGTGTCTTTTGTTTATTAATTTTGCTTTCAGCTTCAAATAAATCATTATTAAATGTTTTTGTCATGTTCTACTTCATAAGCATTCTCTTATTTCGTCTTGAATGACATGCACCTCCTTCCATGTCCAAAAACAAACAACAACAAAAAAAAAACACCAATGGCTTGTTGTGGTGTTTTTTAAAGGGCCAAGGAGGACACCATTGTTGAAAACAAATCATAGAAAAGCCAGACTGGAATATGCCAACCTACATGTTGACAAGCCACAACGCTTCTGGGAGAATGTCCTATGGACAGATGAGACAAAAAGCAAACTTTTGCCAAGGCACATCAGCTCTATGTTCACAGACTGAAAAATGAAGCATATCAAGAGAAGAACTCGGTCCCTATTGAGTCACAGGAGGCTCTGTTATGTTCTGGTGCTGCTTTGCTGCATCTGGCACAAGGTGTCAGGGTACAATGAAACATCAAATCTATCAAGGGATTCTAGAGAGAAATGTGCTGGCCAGTGCCAGACAGCTTGGTCTCAGTTGCAGGTCATGGGTCTTGCGACAGGATAATGACCCAAAACACACAGCTGGAAAAGGCTCCCATCAAACCTGAGACAACTGGAGCAGTTTGCACACGAGGAGTGGGCCAAAATACCTGCTAAGAGGTGCAGAAGTCTCACTGACAGTTACGGGAATTGTTTAATTGTGGTGATTGCCTCAAAAGATTGTGCAACAAAATATGAAGTTAGAGGTGTTTCCATTTTTGTCCAGGTCTGTTCCATGAGCTTATTTTTTTAAATATTCCTGTTGGAGCATGGTTGAAAAGCAATGTCTGAATTTCATTGGTTAAATTTATTTTATTATCACTTTTGTCAGATTTAAGTTATTTCTGTGACTACTGTGGGTACTAACAATTCTGTCTACATCTGTATCTTACACACCGACTTCCAGCTCAGACATCCGCGCTTCCATAGCAGCTCTTCTCTGCTTTTATAGCAGCACTATCTACCATGCTTTACTTGTGTGTTTTCACCACCAGGATGAAAATTAAGTTTATGTAGTTGGCTGGTGTATAGCAATCACAGTTGTTTGATATAATTACTATCTTAAATAGGCACAAATATTTTTTGGGAATCTAAATTTATTCTATCATCGTCCGGTGATCTACGACGACGATTTATTCTATCATCATCAAACTCATTTGAATCGCTAAACAGCTCAACTCTGCTATCTGCTGAATTAAATCTGTAACTGCAGTCTCTGTATAGCAGATCCAAACTTAATACACTTTCCTGTTTGATAGTTGTGATTAATACTGATCAAAACAAAAGTAAATGTGATTTTACTAAGCACGACTAATAAGTATTGCATTATTCTCGACACTGAAATTGTTTCTAGGCAAGGTGATGGATTACACAAAATCAACATTACTGTTTTTCATTCCTAGTCTACAAGGGATTTAAAGTATTTTACAGTGGTCCTGTACAGACTGATCAGCACAGCTGATGCCTCTGAAGAACCATAACCTGCATGGTTAAAAATTCTAAATTTTACCTTTTTCCCCTAAATGTCAAACATTTAGCAAGACACAAAGTTTCATCCATAGTCTCTTCTTTATCAGTATTCTGCACTTTTCTTGCACCTAAACTTTCTCATCTCGCCCACTTATTTTCTTTATTGCGTTTCTCTTCATCCTCTCATCATCTGATGGTGAAATATGAATAACTCATTACGCTTTTATCACAGCGAGGTTATGTATGAGCACATTCATTTACATACTCCTGATTACTGCGGCTATGTTTATTCATGAGACCTAATGCCAGGACACGCCCACTTCCTTGTCTGATGGCCATTGTGACCCCGAGTGTGCCTGATGGGTGGCCACCATCCGTCTCCCTAGGCAACTAATCAATAAGCTGGGTCATCAGTCTTTCTTTGATGGTCAGACACTACTAGCATGAAGGATGCATGACACACATAGATATGAATGATGAGCTAGCACACACACACACACACACACACACACACACACACACACACTTAGTAAGTAGTATAGGGTTATATAGAAAAAGCTCAAAATGAAGGAACACACACACACACACACACACAACCAACAATTGTGCAAGCATGTGGAGAATCCACAAAACTACAAGCTATAAACAAACAACTGATTAATGTTAGACCTATAAACAACATAGCCGCAAAGCATGCTGGGAAGGTCACAGGCTACTCTGTCATCATTGGTGCACCAACGGTTTGTGTTTGTTTGTATTGTTTGTGTGTGTGAGAATGCACACATGTGTGTGTCCAGTCTGGTGTACTGGCAGATATGTCTTTCATCCATCAGGGTCTAACTGGTCATAATGGTGGAGAATACTCATCTACCTGGCCTGAGCTGCACTGATCAACAACACGACCACACCATCCATCAAACAAACACACACACACACACCTACACATTCTCTCATCGCCTTTCCTGTAGGGCCCTGATCAAGGCTCCCAACGAGGCCGAGCTTTGTCAAAGTACAAGCAACCAATGAGACTCCAGAAAACAGCCTTTATGTGGAGGTGGTGATTGAACTCAAAAAGTAGCCTTCAAAACCTCCGATAAAACACATCAGCTCATTAGTTCAGGGGTATTACTAATCAGTCAATACATGTTTCACTCACTCACACACACGCATGCACACACGCACACACACACACGTCTGTCTTTCTTTCATAGTGAGGACCCTCCATTAACTTCCATTCATTTTTGTGACTCCACCCATACCCCAACCCCAATCTAAAACTTATTTCACACCATACCTCTAACTGGTCTAGTAAGCTTCTAAAAACACTGAGGACCAAAAAAATGTCCTCACTTTGAAATATGTCCTCACATTGTAGGGAAAATGGTCAAAATGGTCCTCAGTATGCACACACACACACACACACACACACACACACCAAGAGGTTGAGTGAGCAGTGCAATTAAACCCGCCTGGTTAACAGGTGCTTAGCTCTTTAATATGGAGTGTGTTCATACGCGAGAAAGAGAAAATTGAAACGCAGCAGAGCAGTGAGTTTATCACCTCTGGTAAGTTATGCATGGCTACAGATGATAATCGCAGAGATGTATGGCATGAAGTGTATGCTCATATGTGCACAGGTGTGTGTTTGTTCATGTTCATGCCTGGATCCCACACCCCGACCCATGAGGTTATCGCCGCTTTCGGATGTCACCGAGGGGAACATTGTTCTGGGAAGCCTGCTGGATCTTCCGCTCTCTGCCATGCCTGGTTCCCCCCACCCCACCCTGTTTAATTGTGTAATTAGAAAGGGGAGACTCTGGGTGCTTCTCAGCAGGACTGTGCATACTAATCATGTACAGCCATTTAGGAAGAAAACCTGCAGGGTGCACACATCTCATTTTCATCTCCAAAAAAGGCTTCTTCTGCATGGAAATGAAGATTGGGGGGGGGGGGGGGGGTGTATAAGCTTCAGTAGGTCTGCCAGAAAGGAGCAAATGGAAAATGTTTTCCATTAACATAAATCAGAACTGTGTGATATTTAGAGACCCCAGCTGACTGTTGAATAAAATCAAATACAGCATCAGCAGCAAAACAATGCTAGATTCAGACTGATCTGACCTAAGCTTCCAGTGACTGGAGCCTCTTTGCATTCTGGTTCGTGTGTGTGTGTGTGTGTGTGTGTGTGTGTGTGTGTGTGTGTGTGTGTGTGCGTGCGTGCGTGCGTGCGTGCGTGCGTGCGTGCGTGCGTGCGTGCGTGCGTGCGTGCGTGCGTGCGTGCGTGCGTGCGTGTGTGTGTAATACCTTATCGTTTCCTCCTCCTGGTAGAGAGAGCTGACTGCTGCACCTCCAAAACCCGTTCGTCTCTCTGCTCCTCGTCTTTCCTGTGAGAACGATTCACTTTTCACCCAGCACAATCCAGTTTTCACACATTTAACATTTACAGATATAAAAGATCAACCAACTGTAGCTGGGACCAGCAGCGTATGACCCCAGCTTTTCTATAGGCCCAGTATAATAGAGCTGGGCCCATCTATTCACCATGAAGAGCCCCACCTGTACCCCCTCACCTACAGCCTGGCATCATGTTAAATCAAAAAGGTGCAATTTTGTAAATAAATACATGAAACCTCTCTTGGGCTTTAGGCTTGACCACCTTCATAATAAATAACCAACACGATGAATGCAAACGGGATTGAACATATTGCCCCTGTGACTCTTGTTAATCTTCTGCTTCTTCTTGGAGCTCCACATTCATACAGCTCAACAAAGACTTTAATACCCAGACCATTCTTTCCTAACCAACCTTGACTCACAAAAGAACCTGCACAAATCTGATTCTAGAAAATGGGGAGAGTACGGCAGGAGAAGCAAAACAACTGTGCGTGCACTTTTGGGACAAACTAATTCACTTCAGAAAGTCTGAATATTCGCTGATGCACTGGCCCTGCTCCTCTGCACCATAATGTAATATAAAGCCAGTGTCTGCTCAACAATTGAGAGGGGAACAGAGGTCAAATTGTGGCTATTATTCTCTCCCCTGCTTCTCTGTCTATGCACTCCGACTTACACCATTTAACTGTGCTTCCAGAAGAATAGCTACTGCCATGCAATGATGCTTTGTTAACACTAATGCAATCAGGCTCTTTTTTAGGCGGGTAGGAGGTATGTGCGTTTGCTAGGCTGCCTCTGTTATTGAGAAACTGTGAGGCAGAGTCAGCAAGTCATTCCCCCGCAGAACATCTGAAGAGCATTGTGCCAGGATTTGAAAAGTGGCGGACAGTGACACTATTAAAAAAGAACATGAATGAGAAAGAAGAGCAAAGGAAAGATGGAGGAAATGGTTAATGGGGTCAGAGATGAAAAGAGACAAGAGGAAAAATATGAGTGCAGAGAAACACGATAGTACAATAGTAACAAACTTACTGGGTTCATACTGAATTAGTACATTTTGTGGTTTTCTTGAGTTTTAATAATTTTTCATGCTGCAGTTTAGCCACAACAGGTCCTAATTACGACTCCATTTATTTGCAGTTTACCTTTCTTTGATTCACAATTTGGTCACAAAGCTTTCCCAAAGTTGTCTCACATATTTCACACTTTCTACCAACCAACAGCGACTCTGAGACTGTTAAACTTGTGGCACAATATATCTGAACAAACTCTTGAAATTCCAGCTGCATAAGAGCGTAAATCTGTGGCTCATGAGAGGAAAATGAAAACGTTGATGAATTTTGTCTGTAATCTGTCACAAACAGTCACAAGCCAGTGAGTTGCTGGCTTTAGTTTGCAGAATCTGTAGAAAATCCCAAAGTTGTTTTTCCCCAGTTTAATAAATAAAAAAATGGACATGTAAAGATTATCTTTTTTCTCCTCCGCAGCCATCAGTTTTTTTGATTGTGTTACCTGTTTATATCACATTCCACTAAAACACATCAGTGACCGGTTTAAATTTTTTATATAGAAAATATTTTTATGCCCCCTCACGTAACATCCAACTTTAAAAATGACTCGGAAGTCAAACTCCGGGTAAAGAAATGTGTTTGAGTGTTCCGTCAGCTTCAAGACCTTTGCTGGTTAGGAGTGACTACATTTAACAACACAAACACAACATGAGGTTTTGTGTCAGAGATCCAGAAAATGATTTTAATTAGAGATGCACCAATCCCGGATCTCGCTTGAGCGGTTCGCAGCCGAGTGTGAAGCAGCTGGAATGACAATCAGCTCCTCTAAATCTGAGACCATGGTCTTGAGTCAGAAAACCTCACCTATGGTCACGAGCTTTGGGTAGTGACCAATAAAATTAGATACAAGCGGCCAAAATGAGTTTTCTCCGCAGGGTAGGTGGGCTTTCTCTTAGAGAGAGGGTGCGAAGCTTGGTCATAAGAATAAGAATACCTTTATTAGTCCCTCAGTGGGGAAATTGCAATATTGCAATGGCTCAGGTACTGCAGGATAGCAGCAGTAGCACACAAGATATCGCACAAGAGTACATAATATGTTAAGATAATTATTGCACATGGTAATGAGAGTAGTAGTTATATTGCACGCGTTTTGAAAAGATTATATTTGCAGTGGAAGGTTACAGATGTATGGCTTCTGTTAGCAGTGACTATTATAGTCTAACAGCAGCAGGGAGGAAAGATCTGTGGTATCTCTCCTTCGTACAGCGAGGGTGGATCAGTCTGTTACTGAAGCTGCTCTCCAGAGCAGACAAGGCATCCTGCAGGGGGTGTGACTCATGGTCCAGGATGGATCTGAGTTTTGCCAGCACCCTCTTGTCCCCCACCTCTCGTACAGAATCCAGAGGACAGCCAAGGACAGAGCTGGACTTCTTTGTCAGCCTGTCCAGCTTCTTTCTCTCCCTCTCTGTGATGCTGCTGCTCCAACACACCACACCACACAGGATTGCTGATGCCACCACAGAGTCGTAGAAGGTCTTCAGGTGTGTCCCCCTCACCCCAAAAGGCCGTAGTCTCCTCAGGAGGTGGAGCCTGCTCTGGCCCTTCCTATACAGTGCATCTGTGTTTTGAGACCAGTCCAGTTCGTTGTTCAGGTGAACACCCAGGTATTTATAGGAGTCCACTCTCTTGATGTCTGTTCCCTGGATGTTCACTGGTGAGGGGACAGCTGGTCGGCGTCTGCGAGGATCCACCACCACCTCCTTTGTTTTATCTGCATTATCAGGAGGTGGTTTTACTGGCACCAATCGACAAAGTCCTGCGTTAGTCCTCTGTACTCCACATCGTCGTCCTCGATGATCAGTCTGACAATCGCAGGGTTGTCTGAGAACTTCTGCAGGACACAGCTGTCCATGTTGTGTCTGAAGTCAGAGGTGCAGAGGGTGAAGAGAAATGGAGCCAGGACAGTGCCCTGGGGCACACCCACACTGCAGGTCAGCGGGTCAGACACACAGTCCCGGGCTCTCACAAATTGGGGCTGGTTTGTGAGATAGCTCAGGATCCACTCTGCCAGGTAAGGGTCCAGCCAAGCCCTCTCCAGTTTAGTTTTTAGAATCCCTGGCTGGATGGTGTTAAAAGCACTGGAAAAATCAAAGAACATGATTCTCACAGTGCTGCCAGGTTTCTCTAGGTGGGCCAGAGCACGATGTAGTAGACAAGTGAATGCATCTTCTACTCCAACCCCTGGTTGGTAAGCAAACTGCAGTGGATCCATCGAAGGTCCCACAGTAGACCGGAGGTGTCCCAGGATCCGTCTCTCCAGTGTCTTCATCAGGTGGGATGTGAGAGCCACTGGCCGGTAGCTACTGAGCTCATTAGCTTTTGGTGTCTTTGGCACTAGAACCACACAGGAGGTCTTCCAGAGCTGTGGTACCATCCTCAGCTTGAGGCTCAGGTTGAAGACATGCTCCATAACTCCACTCAGTTCATCTGCGCAGGATTTAAGGAGCCTGGAGCTAATGATGTCAGGACCAGCAGCTTTTTTTTTTGCTTTGATCTTCATCAGCTCTCTCCTCACCTGGCCTGCTGTAAAGGAGAGGGGTGGGCAGTGCAGCTCTGTACTGGAGAGGGGGCCGAGTCCTGCTGGGGGGTGCATGATGGTCTGAATGGAGGTCTGAATGGAGGAGCCAGAGGTGTGAAGGGCTGTAGCTGTAGGGGGCCGTCCAGGTGTGGAGTTATTTGAATGCAGCTGTGTGGGGGTAGGGGTGGGTGCTTGGTCAAACCTATTGAAATACAGGTTTAGGTCATTGGCCCACTTCAGGTCCCCCTTCCCCCTGTGAGTGGGGTGTTTTGAAGCCAGAGATGGTTTTTAGGCTTCTCCACACCCCACTGATATTTTGTTCCTGTAGCTGCTCCTCCATTTTCCTATTGTAGTTGGCCTTCCCCTCCCTGATCTTCCTCCTCAGCTCCTTCTGAACGGTTCTCAGCTCCTCCTTGTCCCCAGATTTGAAGGCTCTCTTTTTCTCCTTTAAGAGAGTTTTGACGTCGGGGTGATCCATGGTTTGGTGTTCGCGAAGCACCGCACCGTCCTGGAGGGAACAGTGTTCTCAAAACAGAAGTTTATGTAGTTTGTGATGCAATCTGTGATGGCGTTGATGTCCTCCCCATGTGGATCACAGAGTTCTGTCCACACCGTGGTGCTGAAGCAGTCCCTGAGAGCCTCCTCACACTCATCAGTCCACCTCCTCACTATACGTGGGGCCACAGCCTGCCTGTGCCGAATATGCTTCGTTGGTGTTGGCATAAAACAAGTCCAGTATTTTATTGTCTCTGGTGGGAGTGGGACAGGTAACATACTGCGTAAATGTGGGCAGAACAGATGACGGAGAAGCATGGTTGAAATCCCCAGAGATGAGAAAAAGGGCCACAGGAGGGGCTCGGAGTAGACCCGCTGCTGCTCCATATCAAGAGGAGCCAGTTGAGGTGGCTGTGGCATCTAGTTAGGATGCCTCCTGGACGCCTCCCTGGTGAGGTTTTCTGGGCACGTCCAATCGGGAGGAGACCTAAAGGGAGACCCAGGACATGCTGGAGGGACTCTGTCTCTCAGCTGGCCAAGGAACGCCTTAGGATTCCCCCGGAGGAGCTGGCCCAAGTGGGCCATATATATGTATGTTTATTTATTTGGCATATTTATTTTGGGGGGGTATTTTTAGGATGTATTTACCTCAAAGTTGAGACCGTAAAGAATGTAAGAAATCAAGAAGAAGAAGAAAATATAATTTCTATAGCGCCTCTCAAGATAAAAATCACGAGGCGCTTCACAAAAACAAAACAAAAAATTAAAATATAAAAAAGCATTTAGAAAATGTTTAAAATATATTTAAAATGAGCAAAAATAGGCAATTGGGACTTAAAAGAAAAAATGTTAAGAAAGAGAGAGAGTGAATAGGAAAGAGGGAAATCAGTGGATCCTGAGGAAGGTGGAATAGGTGGGGAGAGTAGAATAAAGAGAGAGTGGTGAAGAAGGTCATACAAAACCAGCTTGAACAAGTGAGTCTTCAGCTGCTTTTTAAAGGAGTTCACTGAGTCCACTGATCTCAGGCTCAGGGGGAGAGAGTTCCAGAGTCTGGGGGCCACAGCAGCAAATGATCTGTCACCTTTGGTCTTTAGCCTGGTGCTGCACAACCAGTAGGCTTTGATCACTGGACCTCAGGGACCTGCTGGGGGTGTAGGGACTAAGAAGATCACCAATGTAAGATGGAGCTTGTCCATGTAAGGCCCTATAGACCAGAACCAGGATCTTGAAACGAACCCTGAAGTTGACTGGCAGCCAGTGAAGCTGGAGGAGAAGCGAGGTGATGTGGGTGTCAACTATGTAACACTGACATCTAGTGGCCCCATCTCTGTTAAACATCCATCTACTTCAGCAGAGGGTAATGAAGTGATACAGCAAACCCAAATTTAAATTAGATTAAATTACAAAGAGAGAATTATTTATTTATCAATGGTTCATAAGATCAATAATAGAACAGCATGTGTTTCAGACAAAGTGATTTAATTAAAATAATTATCCTCACATTGTTAAATCAGGTAGGCTTAAGGAAAATACTAAAAAGGTCATCAAACCTCTTGGTTCTATTCTTAAAACATTTTACTTCTCAAATATCTTTGAGGATTTGAACTATTTGGAATTTATTTCTTTTTTAAAACAAATTTCAGAAAAACGTTTGAATGAGCAGCTCTGGTTCTACCTTTGTGGTGCCTTCTGGGTCTAACACATTGACACAGGTAATGTACTCTCGCATCGCTTGCTCAGCGTCCATGTCTCCAAGCTGCTTCCAGGCTAGCCTGTGGTGAAATCACAAACTCCATCACAATCATGTTCAACAGTCAAGGGTGTGAGGCTTCATCTGGACCGAGTTTTTCTTAAAAGGTCCATTAAAAGGTCAGGAAACTTTCACAATACAATAAAACCAATGATTGGAAAAGTAAAGGTCCTGCCAAAGAAAATCTGAATATAATGGTACATTTTAAGAAAGACTTTTACTTGTTACACCGTTTTATGATTGCATTTCAGGTAAAAGTATCTGGGTACATTTGTGGGTATAAGTCCTTTAAAAGACAACAGGCTAAAATATGACTAAATACTCTCTTCATTTTCACATGTGAGGGAATTATTTTCCCTTTTGTATGCACATGCTACTAATTTAATTTAAAAAATACATAAACTAGAAACTAATTCCTATATTTCAACGAGGCCAGCGAGTTTAAACAACATACCATTTTCTCTGCCCTTCAAAATCAAAGAAACCAGGTTTTGGGGTGTTGCACTTCCCTACTTTGACCTGAAAACAAAACACACACATAATTAATCTGGCTGCTGTCCCATCTGAACCTGGATCACTGTTATAAACATGTTTGGAACAAACACTCCTTCAGAGTATGCGGCTGTAGTTTCATCTGAAGCCACTAGGGGTCACTAACTACGCCAGACGGACACACTCGTATGGTTAAAACTGGTGTTGAAAATGTGACACTCACCTGTTTAAAACGAGCATACAGGTACAGCAGCTGGTCCCTGCTGGCCGTCTGAATCAAGTCTCTCACTCGGTCAGCTGCAGACTCAAACTCCTGCTCCAGTTCCTCTCCCTCCATTTCCTCCGTCATCTCCACGGCACTACAATCAAATTTACTCAAACCCAAGTCCGAGTCCGAGTCTGAACCCGCTCCACCAAGAGGCTCGCCGGTATCGGGCCGCGCTGGATCCGTACCCGAGCCCGTCGCAGTGTCCGGGGAGGACGAGGGTGAACCAGAGGCCATTGTTATTGTTCACAACGCGCTGTCCTATAAACCACAACCACCAGAAATCCCCGAGTGGAAAGCAGCCGCAGAGAAGCTGTCAGATATTTATTTGTAAAAGTATTATTATTATTGCTAATAACGCTTTTAATCCGTTATCGATGCCAGACTCATTTCTACGGTAAGTCCGTGTTTAGTCCTTTCATCAAAAGAGGTCGGCGCAATCTCTAGCCAAGAAGAAAGGTTCCGGAGCTGTGCAAATAAACGCACCCATGATGTGTGACGTATTTCAGGTCAAATCCAGGTCAACTTGAAAAATGGCTAAATTCATATTTTGTATGGTTGGATATTAAACCAACCAGGTTCCAAGCAGAGCTTCAATTTGCAACAAGAAGAAATGGGAGTGAGACAAAACATTTTGTCTAGAAATGTACTGAAAATAACTTAAAATCAAGCACGCTGTTTACATGTATGGCACATACAAAATGTGCATTCACACATCTGTTGATGCTCTTTCATGAGGAAGGTTTGTTTAAATTTTTTTGACACAGTTAAAGGGGAAACAAATTCTGTGTGGATTTGTGATTATTACGTCTGCTGGGGTGTGACTTTTTGATCAGCTGTAAAACAGCCTGTTTTAGTTTAAGCATTGTTTTCAATAAATTACATGCTCAAAAATGCTTTGTCTCTTTAATTTTTTCTTGTTGATGAATCTCTACTTGGAAACTCGTTAGGATCCAACCATGCCAAATATGTTTCTTGGCCATTTTCAAGTGGTCCTAAACTTTTGATTGGGACTCTGTTTTTTATTTACTTACATTGCACTTCTCCACCATTACATTTGTGTACATACACATAAACAATAAATTTAATTAGGAAATGTTATTGATACACAAAGTTGAAACAAGCAACAGCAGAAATGAGACATCCAAAATTATTAGGCCCCTGGCTATCAATAGTTCCCCCTTTCTAGCCACAACTGACAACAATCTCTTAGAGTAGTTCTTTTCTAGGTTGGCACAGCTCTCCATAAAGATTTTGGCCCATTCTTCCTTTACAATTTGTTGTAGCTGGCTCAAATCACATGGTTTCCAAGCTTTTATTCACTTTGCGCACCCGCCACAGATTCTCAGTAGAATTGAGGTCAGGGCTCTGTGTGGGTCAGGATCTTGGTTTTGATGTCCTTAACTGTTGGATATTCATGTATTATTTGGGTCATTGTCTTGTTGGAGCAGCCAGCAATGACCTAAGCCTAGACTACAAGCAGATTTCTGCATGTTCTTCCTCAGATTTTTTTCACGACACTTGTTTCATGACACCAAACAAGGCTCCCTGTGCCTAAACCTGCAAAACAACCCCTCAGTATATGCTCCCACCACTGCGCTTACCTGTGGGAACTGTGATGGTTGAAGGACTCTCTCGCTTTTTCTTTGCCAAACGCAACATCCATTTGCCCAAACAGTTCCACTTTAGACTCATCAGACCAAAGGACAGACTTCCAAAACTAATATTAATCTTTCAAACGGGCACATTTCAGTCAGGCTTTGATGTGTAGCTCGTAGGGTAAAGGGGTTCTGCTGGCCCTATGATGACGAGCCCTCACAACTGTGTTCCTTGAAACGCCGACGCCAGAAGAGGCCAGGTCAGCACCAATCATCATGGCAGATGTCCGAGGCTCCTTGCTGATATCCCTAACTACCTCTCTCTCCAAAGTTCTTGAAATCTTGCTCTTACAGCCACGTTCAGAGTTTGTTTCTTACAGAATTTGTCTCCTTGTACTTGATCTTGATGCAATGTACAATAGTTCGACTCCTAGACTGTAAATAATTGGAAAGGGCAAGGTAGTCCTCGACCTTTTCACAGGCCATTTTCTTTCTGTGCTCCAGACTGATTTCTTTTGTCTTTGTAGGCGTTGTAGTCCCTGTCATGTGCTCAATTGCCCTGTTCCTTGGAGTCTTTTTATAGTGACTGAATGTTGTTAGGAAGCCAGTTGACTGCACAGTTTCAAAGCTGATTGGTTAATAACTGTTGGTGTGAAAGCAAACATTCTCATGCTGATATTTCTGAAAACCCTATTTTTCACTATATTTGATATAAAGCAGGCATAAAATGTTATTTTACATTACAAAATGTACCAAAGGCTTCCAAACAACACTCACAAATGTTTGATTGTATCAAGTTTCATCAATGTTGTAAACATTAGGAATAAGTTTAGGGAAATATTCCATAATTGCTCATGGGGCTAATAATTTTAGTTTCATCTGTTTATTTTTTCATTAATATCTTTGTTACTGTATTATACTACTGTGCATTTACTCAACATTACACTTGTTCAATATATTTTTTTTAATCAAAGATTTGAGATTGGAAACTTTTATTTGTCCAGCCCAGGAAATATTGTATCACATCGTAAAATCCACACTATTATGGTCCAAGGGTACAAAAACATAATTAGACTAAATATATTAAAATAAATGTTTATCAAGGATCAAAACGCCAGGAGTTTCTTCCATCTGTTCACTATTTGTTAACAAAGTTGCCTTTGGATGTCACGCCCAACTGGAATACCTTTACTGGCACAACACCGGCTGTACTTTTGTCCAGGCCTTGTCCACAGGTCGGAAATCACGAGCTGGAAACTGAACAGACAATTAATTTTCTATATTTTAGTCATAATAAACAAGCAATACTTTACTTATTAAAAATGACTTACACATGCCGTAGAAATAAATTGCGTCAGTTTAAACTCGTCAGAAACACTATGAAGCTATACAGCTATTTGAATAAATTAAGCAATCATAAAATCTACTTGTTTTCAAAACTAATTTTATTAGAAAAATGCTTGGGTTGCAGATCAACTAACTAAAATGGAAAGTTGTAATCATTTGTAAAGGAATAAAGAAGATGAATTGAATCAGAGCTCAAAACAGTTTATTCTCACAGCAAGACACATTTAGTCATTTCTCAACAATATAGTCAGTCTTCAAGGTAACATTTAGATGTAATACAGATAGATGATGTACACACTGCATTTATTTTCTTCACTTTTTCGAGACTTTAACTGTAAATGCAATGGCTTATTTAGTCCAGCAGAGGGTGCTTTTGGCGTACGGATTTGTGACTGCAATAATCACAGAAATGTTGACTTGTGGAAAAATAAAATGCTTCAACCATAGTATAGTATCAACCAATACCGTTCTTTTGCACGGCATTTACCTCAGACTAATATCTTTTTATCGTATTTTTAATTTTAATGTTTGCTTATTTGTTTTTTTCCCTAAAAGTTGTTCTTCAATCTGAAAACACAAGCGTTTGTCAAACAAACAATTTGTCATCCCATTTACAGATAAAACATCGCGCTGCTTTGTTTACAACTATTAACAGTTGCAGAAAAAATACTTGGTCTATAAAAAATATCAATATTATTTACAAAAATGTGAAAGTTTATGTTTTTAATAAAAAAGATTTATCCTACTTTTCACTCGCATGTATAGGCTCCTAATGCCTAAGCTGGGACATCAGTCAGAATAAATCTTTCTTAGTATTTATTAACAGTTGCAGAAAAAATACTTGGTCTATAAAAATATCAATATTATTTACAAAAAATGTGAAAGTTTATGTTTTTAATAAAAAAAGATTTATCCTACTTTTCACTATAGGCTCCTAATGCCTGAGTTGGGACATCAGTCAGAATAAATCTTTCTTAGTATTTGTACTCTTTTGTGGGCAGGAAAATACACATTGAACTTGAAATAAAAAATATATGTAGCTTTTCGGGTGTCCGCTTGGGCACACACGTGTTTTGATTTAGAAACGTGCATTTGATAAAGAAAAATAAATCATAAGTTTGTCATTTGACTAGAGTTTATGTGCAAGGATCATAAAAACATCTTCTGAAAAAGCTGCAGAGACATTATTGCGCATGAAAGGGTGTTTGTTGAAGTTACAGTTTGAATTATTATTTTTTTATTCGACTGGGTTGTCTGGATATTACGAGCTGTACTAAACAAATGGGGTTTAAGTTTTTAATCCAGGTGAACTCAGTCAAAACAATCACTTTGGGCGGGGAGTTTTCAAAATCTGCTTTAGACACCAGAAGGATAAGGTACTAACTTTTATCAGAGAACTGTGTCTGGTCTTATTTCCAGACAGCAACATCAGTGCAGAGGCTCTAGATGGAAGCAGAAGTAGATAAATGATGGTGCGGCTGTCCGGATGCCCAGTCAGCAGGCATCAGGAGGTCCCAGCCGGGTCCGGTGCCACTGCGCGCTCTGCTGACGCAAACACGTCACTGTAGTCCACCGCATGGCCGTCCGCAATGTCCCCAGGACACAGCCCAGGGAGGGACCGAGCAGAGTCACTGAGCCACTCTCAAGCTGAGCCGTCCGACCACCTGTTCAGGAGCAGTCGCTGTTGACCCTCACGTGGAAATAATATGCGGGACGGGATCTGCTCGGAGCGCACAGAGCGGGACGAGCCTGAAGCGGAGTGGGAGTGAGAGGGAGCGGAGCCGGAGCCCGGAGCTTCCGCAGCAGCGCACGTTGAGGCTGCAAGTTGTCTGACCGAACAAAAGTCGCGTCGACGGGGACGCGCTCCAGGATTCAACAGCTTTTACAGGAACTCTTGTTTCAGCAAAAATGAAATTCGCGGAGCATCTTGCGTCCCACATCACCCCAGAGTGGAGGAAACAATATCTCCAGTATGAGGTAAAGTCCAGTTTATTATGTAGGCTATTTAAATAATACTAGATGTATAAAAGAGCATTTAACTTATCTGAGATGTTTGATGAAACAAAAAGAACATTAACATAAGCTTCCTCAAACAGGCTTTATGTGTTTAGTTATGTCTTTCTCTTGAGAGTAATAAAGGAGTGAAGGTAGAGGATACCCCATTGTTTATGAATGGCGAATTGACTGCGGTTGTTAAGAGCCAAAGGGACCTTTTATTGTTTATTGTCGTTTGCAGAATTTACAATCCTCAAAATTTAACTAGATGAACAGTTTACCCAACAGCTGAACTGCTGTCATTAGGGTAAATTGGATCATTTATAGTAAGAATGTCATCAAACAATCAAGATAGTTCTTTCTTTTTCCATTTTGTACCAAACAAATGCCAATATTAATATATTTTAAATAATAGCTTTTTCTTTCTCTCGTTCTTTCTTTCTTTTTTTTTTTTTTTTTTTTTTGCAAAGATGTTTTTCTTTTCTGTTGCAGGATTTTTATTCCCTCCATTCTGGCTTCACCATTTGCAACGGTTTACAATTCCCAACAATGTGGTCATATGCCGTATTTAGATAACCCCTTTAATTTACTATTTTTATCTTTTTACAAGGTGATTCCCCCAGACACTAATTAAAATGTGTTACTGAATTTAGATGAAAAAAAACCTCAATAAAAATGCAAATGCATATTTAAGGAAATTTCTAAATTTAGAGGTTATTTATTTGACACTTTTATCCAAGGCGTTATAATTTAATCTGCAAGACTTTGCCTAACATGTTTTGTCTGTCCGTCATGTCTGCAGCTTTAGACATGAATCCTTGTACACATGTTTTTATATATTTGAGGAGAGGTATCTTTCTGCATCCTCCTCCTCCGTGGATCTAGTGAGAGCTTTAGTGCAGACATGCTGCTCAGTTCCATTTAGCTCCATGAATTATAGACAAATACCCAGTTCACCCTGCACAGCAGACCCAACAAAAACTCACTGAACTGGTTTAATTTTGGTAACATGCCCTGGATTTTATTCTCAGGTTTGACAATTGGCTGCAGTAGACACGGGGACCTCTCTATCTCAACATGAATATGCTTCCATCATCATGTAATACAAAAGCATCACATAAAAGTGGATTAATAATGAAATAAATGATTAATAAACCCAATGGGAGGAGGTTATTTCTGGGTGATATCTGCATTTGATGTGTTATGTACACATGAAATCTTGGTGGTTTCTTTGTATGAACAGAGTGATGCACACTGAGCCCATGCATGGACAGATGCATGGCCATACCAGCCATTTTACACCTCCATTTCTCACCACGGCACTCACTGACCTGAGATGGATGGTGATAGATTTTCTCTGTCATCTGTGCTTAGGCTTTTTGTTGAAAGAATGAGCAAATGTACACTCAAATTTTGAGCCTTGAAGCATTTTGTTAAATACTTTAGGACTTAAATTAAACTGTTTTTGTTGTTTTGATGAGAATTGATAAATGTAATCAAGTCCTCGTGCGCTATTGATCGTGTGCCAGTAACTATTTGTGTACTGTGTCAGTGATTGTCATCGTGCTATGTTTGTGACTCACATTTTTTTTTCAAACATTTTGCATCCGTTCTCCGATCTGAAATATAGAAAGACCGTGCACCTGGGTGTGTTTGTGCCTCTGTGAGAGCCTTCAGTCTTTGTTTGACTTCTGAACAGGACAGTGCATGTCTACTGATGACACTCAAGGATTTAATATAATCAGCATACAACTAAACAAGTGTGCAGGTCATATTCAGAGGTGCTAAACAAGGAGCAGGTCGTTCTAAAGGAAGAAAAGAAAATTAAGTTCATTTTTATAAACATCCAATCAATTCTGCATGCTATATTTCCGTATGAAGCAGCCATAACACACCTGAAATTTGTCTGTTCATAACTAGTCATGAACATCAGCAGTCTGTGCAGAAATGTATTGCACCCACACATTTGTATTGACATGTGTAGGACTGCAGCTATTTGTGTTTAAAATGAATGCGGTGTGATGTGACATTAAGTCTTTTGTGCTCTACTAATACTAATGACCTGTGTGAGTGTGTGTGTGTGCGTGCGTGCGTGTTGTCTTTTGTCTGCGGTCTTCTCACATTGGTCAGCCAGTCTCCATACAGATGAGAACGATGCAGCAGAAAAGTGTCTGTACCAGAAAACGCAGGGTTTAGTTAGTAAGACACTTGACTTGAATGTTGAAGCATTGACCAGGTGATTGAGTGAAAGGATAATGAGTTGTGTGTTTTATTCTGTGGGGTTGTAGGTATAAACCTATATGCTAAACAGCTGTTTGTTATGAAGGTGTGTGTGTGTGTGTGTGTGTGTGTGTTGTGTGTGTGTGTGTGTGTGTGTGTGTGTGTGTGTGTGTGTGTGTGTGTGTGTGTGTGTATTGCCATCTCCAGAGGCTCATCCCCGAAAGGCATCGATGTATGTTGATGGAGAGGAACATGTAATGACACTTTGTTGTTCAGTAAATTTGCACAACTGTTTGGATTTGTTTACACCTATAGAAAATTTACAGTCAGCATCAAAAATACAAAAGTAGAAATGTGTGTGTGTGTGTGTGTGTGTGTGTGTGTGTGTGTGTGTGTGTGTGTGTGTGTGTGTGTGTGTGTGTGTGTGTGTGTGTGTGTGTGTGTGTGTGTGTGACAACTGTTGATTTGAGATGTTTTTGTGTAACTGCTCAGCATGATAGTGGAGAAATAATACCGAGATTCAGGTGTGTGTGTGTGTGTGGGGGGGGGGGGGGGGGGGGCATCAGCACAAGGCCATTTATGCATTTGCCTCGAGTCTAATCACTCTTGTGAGCTCAGAAGAGGAGGAGCTTGCAAGTGAAGGCTCACATTTACAGCTCCAGCCATCTAATTGCTGTGTTGATTTACCCTAAGTGTGGGTGTGATTCAGAAACTGATTGTTTGTTCAAATGCCAGATATTATCTGTATTTTATTTCCTGTGTATGAGTTAAATAGTGAGCTTTCTTTTGTGTAGAAACTCAACAAGAATATTTCTGTATTGTGTTAAATGAACGTGTTATTGTGCTACAACAAGAAAATTATGTATACAACAGGCATGGCATGGTGACTGCTGAGAACCTTCCCTTCTATACCTCCCTCCTCCCTTCCATCCTCACCTCAGCGTTCCTCCCCCACTGGGAGGACATCTGGTACCCTACCAGACCTTCCCTCTGCACCCCTCCTCCCCTCCTCTCAGTCTCTCCTCTACACTTCACATTGAGATCCACTTACTCAGAGCTGCTGTCTCAACTGATCCATTTGATCTTCTCTGACTCTGAATGGATCTCTTGGACATCATTAGATTCCTTTTCATGGCACTGAAGTCATATTTAGTGAAGCTTTGAATGGTTTTTATTCCAAAAAACAACATTAAGGTGATCATTCTGCTGAATCCTTATTGTGCAGATTTCAGATTTTTGTTGGGTTTATTGACCTTTCACCATCATCATGCTAATGCACGGTCATTTAAACCCATTGTACCATTCAACAGCTCAATCACACTTCACAGGTTTCACTAGTGTGAGCCAAGGCTGCACATCGACGTCAGTTCCCCAAAGACACAAACTGCGTATCTTTTTTATCATAGCTATCACCATGGCGATGCCTCAATTCCCTTAAATCAGAAATCACATTTTCCCACCTATTATATGGCTGTGGTGTCTGCTGGCTGCCATGTATTAGCAATCAGCATCAGTACACAGGGCAGCTCAGTGCCACACAGCAAAACTGTTACTTCTGCGAGTCGGCTTTAGTGCAGAAGTTTCAGTGTGCATGTCATTAAAACGAAACTGTCATTGATCAAGCAGCTGCTCCCAGCACACTTCATTTTGGAGTGGTCTCCATCCAAACAGGATTTTCCACAGTGTTTACAAAAACACCTACATCTGTATGTACAAGCTGATGCATTTATGTTTCAGAAACAAAGAATATTGCTTTGTTCAATAAACAAATTGTTGAGATTTGCTTTGAAAATGCCACAAGGTTGAGGTTTTTATTTTTGCACATCTTGATTTTAATAAGACTTCCATGTTTTATATAAAGAAACTGGATTTAATATTTAAAATAATATTCTAAAGCAGTGGTGTCTAATGTTTGCCTTCGAGGACTACCATGTTTTAGCTGTTTTCCTGATCTGTTAGACTTGATGTAGGGGTTCAGTTCCATTTTCAATACTGAAGCTCTGCAGAGGTCTGTTAGCGTTCCACTGATTCAAACCAGGTGTGTTGGAGCAGAGAAAAACCTGAAATATTCAGGAAAGTGGCCTGTTTCACAAAGTAGGGAAGACAGGTGTAAGGAAAAGGGCTGCATTCCACTTCTGCAGCTGCACAAGCAGTTTCTTCTTAATGGAATGCACCCCTTGTTAAAACACCTTTTCCTATTCTGTTTGCCATTTGGGAAATTATTGGTAATCCATCTTTAGAAGTTCATGCAGTATGAAGAGAATCACTTCTTGTTCACACTCAAACCTCCTAACAAGGTTTTTTTCCACTCAGAATGTTTTCTTCCAACTGGGACTTGTCCTGTGATGTGCTGCATGGAGCAATTGTCCAAAAATTGTGCAAAACTTTGGTTTGCAGGAAGCGACAAGGACATTTGAAGTAATCTACCAGCCCATCGTAATGTTTAAAATGTGTACATTTGAACAAATGTAAACGGTTGATTTAGACCTAATGTGGAAACTCGAGTAGCTCTAAAAGTGCTTAAAATCTATTATAGTGTGATTACAAATGCCTTAATTATCTTCAGATAAAACTCACTGCTTTAGAATTATAGTCATTCAATAAGTCCATGCATGCATTAGTGAAATATTCAGCAACTTGAACATAACAAGTTGTTTATGTTTTAAACAGATTTTTTGTATTTCTTGTATCTGAAGTATGGATAGACGACATATCGGGCCAATAGTAATCTAATATTCCTCTTTAGCAGATTTAAAGTCAGGCACATCCGTGGGCAGGCCATGTGCTGCTTTATATTTAAATGTATATTTATGTTCCTGAAACACAAACGCTCACTAAGTACTCTAAAGATGATTGTAAACCGACGTTTCTTTTTATTAATCAGTTTTATGTCTCCTACTTGGTCAGTTTATGAAATTGTTTTAACAACTTAGGTTAAACGTTTGATTTGAATACTGCGCAGTGCACAAAATTAAGATTCCAGGTTCAGAAATGTTGTGCATCCACTGTTGTTATTAGTGACATTTTATCATGCAAATAAAGCAGGAAACATCTAGATATCGGACATGAAAATCGGCAGCACATATCAGCCATCGACTGACCATGACCTGTACATATCAGCATCAATTTCAGCAATAGAAAAAAAAAACAATATCAGTCTATCTCTAGTATAAAGACAGTCATTTAAACTTTGATTTTATCTGCAGGCCTTCAAGGATATGCTGTACGCTGCCCAGGACCAGGCTCCGTCCATGGAAGGTAAGGAGATGCAGATAAACAAACACTGACACACTCATTTCAGAGACTCGTGGGTACTCAGCAGCTCCCTGTTTGGGCATCCTCAGAATAACAACCCCTCATCTGCAAAAAATAGATTGAAATTAATGCTAACTTGTTGCAACACTCTCCAGGGTTTCTGACTCAACAAGACTAAAGCCAATCCTCATATCATTAATTTCCTACTCTAGCTTCATTAACCCGATTAAAGGAATAGATTAACATACACACGTAGTCTGAAATGTAGCAGGTGTTTTTATTACATCCCAAACGTGGTAGAAAATAGTTTATAATATAAATATCTTGAGTTTTTTTAGAGTAGCACCCTGCTAACCTGTCTGGTTTAGCAGAGCTGGAGGTCAGAACCAGCCCCGCTGAGTGTTGCTGATTAACGGATGCCACTGGCTATAATTACCCTGAGTGATGTGAGGTGAAGGAAATAATTGAAACCATTTTTTTCTTTATTCGGACAACCATGTGTAGAGGTAAACAACTTTCTTCAGTTGCAGGCTTGACCTATAATTTACAGTGTTGTGACGCGCAGCTCTGTCTGGGACTGTGGATGTGTCCACACGCAGCAGAATAAATAGTTCTTGACCTACATGTAGGGGTGAGAAAATGCTTTCTGCTCATCAGTTTTTGAATAAGCATTTCTGGGCTTGTGTCCCAACAAATGCCAAGGTATTAATAGATTTTTCTGTCTTGAGCGTCATGCCTTTGATAGAGCTGCAGCTCACAGATCTCAGTTCCAGCTGATCAGTATTGAGATGGGTGACAGAAGGAAGTGACTGTCCACACCCTCACCGAGCATGTAAGGATGTCATAGCTGCCTTTTTGTGCGAAAGCCTGTATGAGGCAGATTCAACCACTAGAAATGGTTTTACCTAGTTTTAATTACTGTAACAGTCTTTTGGCTGGACTTACCAAAAAGCTTATTCAGAATGCTCCTACAGAACTGATTTCGAAGTGCTTCTACTAGTTTATAAATCACTCAGTGGCTGGGGCCAAAATGCATTTGGATCTTCCAGTATAAACACCCAGCAAGGCAGTTCTCAATGGGTGTGTCCGAATCCACGGGCAGGATACTTACGAGTACGGGTCCTCGCCGGTCTAGCAATGCCAGGTCCTTGCTAGACCGCTAAGACCGAAACCCAGTGGCTCTGAATTCGGACAGTCTAGCCTTCACCTCTACGGTGGCCCGTAGGTCCCGTCACAGCCGTGGCGGCAGCTACACGCAAAAGGAAAAATGCTAAAGCTAGCGAAAATCGAGCAGGAATATTAAGGAGCTACAGCAGCTTCACGTCCATCAGCAGCGTTCGTTCACAAACGTTTTCAGGTAAAGTAACTTTGTTTATTCTAGAAGCTTTCAGGACTTACATGTTAACTTTAGATGGTTTAATGTATGTTTTAAGCTACAGAATGAACTTGTTAAACGTACACAACACATTACTACAGAGTATTAACATGTAGGTAATTAATATAAACCAAATGCATTATAAATGTTGAATGCAGTAGGATGTTTTCTAATGTAAATTGGACCTTAGAACTTCTTATTTTGCATCAAATGGGGGTAAAACGTTTTAAAAACAGGCTTTTAAATAAAATAGCATTGAAGTGTTTTCAATGTGCATTTGTTTATTCAACTTAAGCCTAATAATGATTAGATCTGTCTTAAAAATGTAATTTCTCTGTAGTTTTCCCTACTGCTTTTCTTTAAACAGAACAGAACCAGTATATGTTTGTTTTACATTTTTCAATTGAAAAAAAACTATTTTTTTTAATCTATTACACGTCAGCATGCACTGTGCTGCACATCTGCCTCTGTGCTGGTGAAGTTGTGGGTCTGGAGGATGAGCCTGAGGAAGATGTGTGTGGAGGAGGTCAGCGGTGCTCTGTCCTGGAAGAGGTACCAGCAGACCACCACTACTGTTAACAGGCAAGTAATTTATGTAGGAACCTCTATTAAAAACAACACTGTGGTTTTATTTGCTGAAGAGTCACAATTGTTATACCAGTGGATCCATAAACCATATCCTCATTTCATATTTCTGAATACATCTTAGAGATGTAATAGCCATCGTCTGAGCCAGCCCAGCAGTCCCTGTAGATGGACGATGGAGTGGACAGTGAGAGGAAGCATCCCAAAGCTCTCTGCAGATCTTCCCGTATGATGTTCCTCTGACCAGAAACGTCCAGCCACGGGTCTGCTCCAGCCCTCCATCCACGTCTGGATCCTCCTGCAGCAGATCCAGCTGCACTGCCAAAGACTTCCTGCTCGCTCAGTTTAAATAAATGATCCAGGGTCACTGAGTCACCTGAGTCACTCAGCTTAATCCTGCTTTAACCATTTAACCATACTGGTTTTGATCTGTAAGTAATTGTAACGTATTATAAATAATCTTGTCTCCTTACTATCTTTTCATTTTCTGTTCATGTAACATGTTCAAAAATATCTGTAATAATAAAACTGGTGATAAAATCAATGACCAGAAAGTTATTAGTATTTGTTTTAATAAATGTGTTCAAATATCAAACAGCTAAATAACATTAACATGATGACAGTAGAAGGTCTTTCTCCCAGGAGGACCACCAGGTAATGCCTCTCCTCACCCTGGACACCTGCAGTCCTACAGAGAAAATCAGAGACCACAGGTGACAAAAAGGCAATAAACACATTTTTACATTTACCCACATGAGAAGATAAAAATTATGTTCTTCACACAAACATTTTTTACTTCATTAAAATGTGTCAGCTGTGCAAATCCCTGAATGTAAAACTACTTTTCACAGCAGAACACAGAACTTCTGTGGTTGTGTGTGTAAACAGCTTCACTCTTCACCTCTAAGCTTAATAAAAACGCTTCTTTGCTTTCTAAGGAGCTTAGAAAGAAAAGCTTCTGGACTTCTTTGAGTTGCTTGAAGACGTTTCACCTCTCATCCGAGAGGCTTCTTCAGTTCTAAGGTCAAATGGTGGAGAGTCCCAGATTCAAACCCAGTGGGAGTTTCCCCCCGAAGAGGGAACAAAAGACCCCCGATGATCTTCTACATAAACACATGAGCCAAGGTGTGAGGGTGGGTGTGGGTCCTATTCAGCCAGAGTTTCAGGTGAGCTCATTGTGAAGCCTGGCCCCACCCTATCATGTGAATTCCTGAGGTCAGATGGCCCAGGATATGCTTGGGCGTTGAGGCATCTGGGAAGGGATCTCAAAACTGGATTATAGATGGCAGACAGTTGGTGTCGTAAACCACCACCTCTGTTCAAAGATGGTTGCTCACAGTGGACATAAATGGCTTCCTCTACTCCTCTTTCAAACTATCTGTCCTCTGTCCAAAATGTGAACGTTGGCATCCTCGAAAGAGTGACCTTTGTCCTTTAGATGCAAATGAACTGCTGAGTCCTGTCCCGTGGAGGTGGCTCTTCTATGTTGTGCCATGCGCTTGTGAAGTGGCTGTTTGGTTTCTCCGATGTAGAGGTCTGGGCATTCCTCGCTGCACCGTACAGCATACACCACATTGTTCAGTTTGTGTTTAGGAGTTTTGTCTTTCGGGTGAACCAGTTTCTGTCTGAGTGTGTTGCTGGGCCTGAAGTACACTGGTATGTTGTGTTTGGAGAAAACCCTCCTGAGTTTCTCTGATACACCGGCTACATAGGGGATGACAAGGTTGTTGCGTCTGTCTTTCTTATCCTCCCTCGCTGGTGTCTGGTCTTCTTTTTTGTGCATCTTTGCTGACTTTATAAATGCCCAATTAGGATAGCCACATGTTTTAAGTGATTCCTTTATATGTGTGTGTTCCTTCTTTTTCCCTTCCGGCTTAGAGGGAACATGTTCTACCCGGTGGTGTAGGGTCTTGATTACTCCAAGTTTGTGTTCCAGAGGGTGATGTGAGTCCAAGAGGAGGTACTGGTCTGTGTGTGTGGGCTTCCGGTACACTTCAATGTTGAGGTTGCCATTTTCTTCCAAGTGCACAGCGCAGTCCAGGAAAGGCAAGCAGTTGTCCTTTATGTTTTCCCTGGTGAACTTGATGTTTTTGTCCACGGCGTTGATGTGCGTAGTGAAGGATTCCACTTCTTGTGTTTTGATTTTGACCCAGGTGTCATCCACATATCTGTACCAGTGGCTGGGAGCTCTCCCTTTAAAAGAGCCAAGAGCCTTTCTTTCCACTTCCTCCATGTAAAGGTTGGCTACAATAGGTGACACGGGGGAGCCCATGGCACAGCCATGTTTTTGTCTGTAGAAACCTTCGTTGTATTTGAAATATGTAGTGGTGAGGCGGAGGTCTAACAGTGTGCAAATCTGATCGGGTGTGAAGTTGGTCCTGTCCTCCAAGGTGCTGTCTTCTTGTAGTCGTTTTCTGACCGTCACCACTGCCTCCGTAGTGGGTATGCAAGTGAAGAGGGAGACTACGTCAAAGGACACCATGGTTTCATCTGGATCCAGGGTAAGTTTCTGGACCTTGTCAGTGAAGTCGGTGGAGTTCTTGATGTGGTGTGGGGTGTTCCCCATCAGAGGTGCAAGGATGGTAGTAAGGTGTTTCGCGATGTTGTAGGTGACTGAATATATGCTACTGACAATGGGTCTGAGAGGGATACCTTCCTTGTGGATCTTGGGCAGTCCGTAGATGCCGGGTATGGCATCTCCTGGATAAAGGCGGTGATATGTAAGGCGGTTGATGGTTTAGTCCCTTTCAAGGCCTTGAAGGCAAGCTATAACTTTCTTTTTGTAGCTGCTTGTGGGGTCTCGCTTTAAGGCTTCGTAGGTGTTGTTGTCACTGAGGAGAGTAGTGATCTTTGCGTGATAATCTGTTGTGTTTAGGACCACGGTGCACCTTCCCTTATCAGCTGGTAATATAGTGATGGTGTGGTCTTTGCTCAGTCAGTTATGCGACTGCCTTCTTTTCTTGTAACGTGAGGTTAGGCGCATATCCTGGGCCATCTGACCTCAGGAATTCACATGATAGGGTGGGGCCAGGCTTCACAGTGA